CCTACTAATCATGTAGGAATTGCAGATGCGATTAACCATCACTTGGTTATTGCATCTAATTCCCAGCAACCATTAAAACTCACTAAACTCCCAGCATACTTGCCCTGCTTGTTGCCACCCCATCAGGTTCAACCATGGGAGATTCTTAATGACATCAGTAAACTATCTATTTGCAAAGCAGGAGGTCCTGATGGGCTGCCACCACGATTGTTAAAAGAGGTGGCGTGCGAGTTAAGTCAACCAGTGACTAACATTATAAATACTTCACTCTCTCAAAGCAAAGTACCCCAACCAATGGAAGGAAGTCAATGTAATACCGATCCCTAAACAAAATACTCCGACAATAGACAAGTTGCGCCCAATTCCACTAACCCTGTGCCTCGCTAAAATTGCTGAAGGTCGAGTTTGCAAATGGATAGCAATTAATTCGCAGATTGATCATAAACAATTTGGGAACCGCAAATGCTTATCCACCATCTACTGTCTTATTGATATGTATCATCATTTGATTTCGGGTGCAGAAAAACCGAAAAATGTTACCACACTTGTGCTAACCGATTTTTCGAAAGCTTTGGAGTTAGTTGACCACAAAATCACTGTCTCAAAATTACTCGAACTAGGTGCGCCTCCGTCACTAGTACAGTGGGTGGTGGACTTCCTTTCCGAAAGAAAACAAAGGGTTAAAATATAATAATACTTTTTCTGATTTGATTGAACTAAATGGTAGGGTACCTAAAGGTACTATTATTGGTCCCATTGCTTTTTTTAGCTTTGATTAATGATGCTCTTTTAAATACAAATAGCAATCAAGTAAAGGTTTGCAAATATGTAGATGATCTCACAATTGGGGAAAATAAGACCATTGGAGATCTCTCGGCAATGCAAGAAAATTTAGACTCGCTTCTTGAGTGGTCCATTAGGAATAAATTAAAACTAAGCCCCACCAAATGTTTAACTATGTTCATCAATTTCAGTAGGCAAAATACTCCAATTGGTGATTTACACATCTCTAATCACTTTCTACCTGTAGTACAGAAAGTTTTATTACTGGGTGTAATAATCCAAAATGATTTAAAATGGCAAAGCCAGATTGATAATATTTGCAGTAAAGCTAATGGCAAAATGTTCATGCTTCGTAAGCTTAGAAGGGTGGGTCTTAACAAATTGGAACTTCTATCTGTCTATAAGGGATATATAAGACCGTTGTTGGAGTATGCTGCCCCTTGTGGGGCAGCATACTCCAGAAGCGTGTCTGCAAGATCATTTTAGGCAGTGGGTATAGATCTTACTCACATTCCCTTGTAACACTGGATCTAGAACCTCTTCATACTAGAAGATGGCAGTTGTGCAAGGTGTTTGCCTTAAAAGCACACGCTTCGGGTAGATTCTCTGCCTGGTTCCCTGCCCCTCAGTACAGATCCTGCATGACCCTTAGAAAACCCCCTAAGATTAAATATTACAGAAGCAAAACCAAACGATTCCAAGCTAGTCCGATCCCATTTTTGGCTGACATAATAAACAAAAGTTAATTCTAATTCCCCCCCCCCCACCACCGTTGATTGGCTTGTTTCCCCCTCCCTTTATTGTCCTGTCGTTTTTCAAATGCTCCTTCCGCGGTTATCTCGTATTTTGATATAGGTTTTGCTCTTGAATTTTTCATATTTTATAACGATAATAACTATTGTAATTTATTTGTAAATTCATACGCAATTCAGCCCTAGTCGCTGCTATGTATGTTTTTGATGTTGAATTTTTAATAAAAATATACCTCAAATGATATTCTCACTTAGACTCTAATACAGGAGAAATGCAGGGAGCAGAAAATGCCTTTTTATATTGCATTCATAGATCTTACAAAGGCCTTCGACTTGGTAAGTAAAGATGGTTTTTTTTCAGATTATCCTAAAGTTAGACTGCCCTCTGAAAAAATAATAATCTGTTACGTTCCTTCCATACAGAGACCAAAGGTACCATTCAGTATGATGGCAGTTACTCCAAGCCTTTCAACATCCGGAGCGGAGTAAAGCAAGGATGTGTTTTAGCTTGGAATATTCGTCTTCCTTCTGCTGAAATAAACATTTAGATCTTCAATGGAAGGCATCAATCTCCATGGCAGATCAGACGGGCGACTTTTCAACCTCAGTCACCTCCGAGAAAATACAAAAGTTTGTTCTGTTTTTTAAGGCATTTGGAAGACTTTGGACTGGTGATCAGAATAACGAAAACCGAAGTATTAAACCAAACTACTACCCACGTCGACAACTATGAATTAGAAGTTGTTTGGGAGTTTGTCCATCTAGGATAATAAATAACTGACAACCTTTCTCTTGCTGTAAAGATGAACAAGGGTACTGGAAAATCGTGTCTGAGAAAACAACAGGCTTTCAAAACGTACAAAAATCACTGTATACAATGCTTGCGTTATCAGTACATTATTGTATTGTAGCAAGTCTTGGAGACCCCAGCAGAAGAAACTAAAACAGCTTCCATTTGCCCTGTCTGCAGTGGCGCCAGGATTTGTCTACTAATATATGAAGAGAATATATGTACATTTTTTTTCTCTACGACAAATTGTGAATTCTCTCCTCGACTGGGGAGGGGGAAGGGACAGCGCTCCTATACGGGGGCCCTGTCTCACCCACTGGCGCCATCCCTGGCTGACTGCGACGCATTCTTCAAATTTCCTGCCAGCAACGACACCTAAATTATTACAGCAACGTCGACTGCGCCGTAAGGAGGTTGTCGTATACCAAAGGACATTTTTTATGGTGAACTAACATCAAGAAATAAATTAGTTGGTCGCCCCAAATGGGTTGTAAAGTTGTGTGCAAGTGTGATTTAAAAGCACTCGAAATTTATTTGTTTTGAAGGAAATTTCAGACAATCGTGTAGAGTGGAAAACCACAAATTACGACACTATCTCTTAAGAGGGGTAAGTGAAACTTCGCGTAGAAGCCAAAAATGAAAGATCAAGATGTAAAACTGGCATGAAAAGCAACATAGAGGTCACATACACCTGTAACCAATGCAGGAGAGTTTCTAAATCAGGCATCGCCTCTTTAGCCACAGCAAAGCCTGCCACCTGCTGCATATACAGTAGCAGAAACTATGTGAGCTAAGTCATATTCTATAACCAACAAACACATAACCTTAAAATATATTTGTATACAAGAAATAAATATCTCTTAAGCATAAAATATTATTAAAAATAATCTAAAAACATCAGCGCATAGCTATTTTATGACTTAGCGATATATACAATTGTGGGAAGGGCAAGACTTGATTAGTGTTTCACTATTTTTCAGCTCTTTCCTATATTGGTTTATTAGTTTACTTATATTTATGTATATTTCAAAGGTTATAAAAGAATTACATTTTACATCAGATAAACCGTTTTGTAGTATTTTTTGTTGTTGATATAAGATCACGAGGTTTGGATTTTAAGATGAACAGATAAATAGATTCCATGCAGTAGTCTTAGGTATGTGTAACCGTGCTTCCAAACTAAACTTACTTGTTCCACACCTGTAGCCTGTACATGATGTTCTACATGTGTCGAGATTAGGAATACACGACCCACCGTTCTGGCATGTGACATTGATACATATATCTATGGCTAAAAAGAAGAAATTAAATACACACTGTAATATTGATTAATTAATTTGAAAAGATCAGGTTTAATAACAATACATATAATAATAAAAAATATAAATATTGAGAGGTTTGCATGGCGAATTAATAATATATTTAAAGTTTGCAGTACACCACGTAGAGAGTTCTGAAAAGAACTGTTGTTTTGTTGAGAATGTCTCGACTTTTCGATTGAGTAGCTTCAATCGTCTTCAGGAGAATAAAACCTGCAGAGAATCCAGACAGGAAAATATTTATATCTTTGGATAGTGAGACGTGCTGCTGATTGGTGGAGAACTAAAGACTAACTGAGACTATGTGTGAAAAAGCTGATGCAAAAATGAGTGGAGTAACGCATGCGCTCTCGTGCGGTGGTCAGCGATTCTTGCAATATTTTTCAATAATAATAAATTTAAATTTAACCTAAGATTTTTTTTTTAAATCATCTAACAACTGGATACGACTGTTTATGCAGATTACAACCGCGGGAGGAGCCGCGTTGTTATAGTGACGTCGATCACTAACAACGCAAATAACTTTGCTTGAGCTTTTTAAAACTGCATAAACAGTCAAGTCAAGTGGTTAGGTGATTTGAAAAACAATCATTACGTTGAATTTAAATTTATTTTTAAAAAGTATTGCAAGAATCATTATTTTTTAACAACAATTAAAACAAAGATGCCAAAAGATACTTGTCTAAACTGGCACGTCACTTAGGCACCCCAACATGAAGTTTGGTGGCCTCACTAAAACCAGCTAATTAGCAATCCAGCTATTATAGTAGTGATCGATCAGTGCTAAAACCCCACAATGGAATAGCCGACCGGGGTAAAAAATGGCCTCAGCCTCAGAAAGCCCCATCGTTAGAGTACGCCACTGTAGTAATAGTAATGCATTATAGTAACATTGATATCAGTAATCAATAAATTTTGAAGTATATAAAATTAATAAATAAAGGAATATATATATATATAATCTGTCTCTTATACACATCTAGATGTGTATAAGAGACAGTTATTGTCCTGTCGTTTTTCAAATGCTCCTTCCGCGGTTATCTCGTATTTTGATATTGGTTTTGCTCTTGAATTTTTCATATTTTATAACGATCAAAGACCAAAGGTACCATTCAGTATGATGGCAGTTACTCCAAGCCTTTCAACATCCGGAGCGGAGTAAAGCAAGGATGTGTTTTAGCTTGGAATATTCGTCTTCCTTCTGCTGAAATAAACATTTAGATCTTCAATGGAAGGCATCAATCTCCATGGCAGATCAGACGGGCGACTTTTCAACCTCAGTCACCTCCGAGAAAATACAAAAGTTTGTTCTGTTTTTTAAGGCATTTGGAAGACTTTGGACTGGTGATCAGAATAACGAAAACCGAAGTATTAAACCAAACTACTACCCACGTCGACAACTATGAATTAGAAGTTGTTTGGGAGTTTGTCCATCTAGGATAATAAATAACTGACAACCTTTCTCTTGCTGTAAAGATGAACAAGGGTACTGGAAAATCGTGTCTGAGAAAACAACAGGCTTTAAAAACGTACAAAAATCACTGTATACAATGCTTGCGTTATCAGTACATTATTGTATTGTAGCAAGTCTTGGAGACCCCAGCAGAAGAAACTAAAACAGCTGTCTCTTATACACATCTAGATGTGTATAAGAGACAGAGCTCCTGTTGAACCTCGCTTTATATATATATATATATATATATGACAATAAAACGGATAACAAAGAATAGACACCTAAAGTTTACTGCTCCCTGGAATATACATTAAGGTAAGACACAATAAATATTAAAAAGTTTTGAAAATATAAACAAATACATAAATAGTAACAGTGCTATTATTGCTCATATGCCAGCACTGTTATTGACATCTATTTATCTACTTTGTGTTCACGATTGTTACGCAGCTAACTATTATTTACTTTGAATTCCTAGCTGCAGCCTTCAAGCTAATCTATAACCACAGCTACACGGTGTGTGAGTCAGTTGACTTGAAGCCCTGCTTTTGGTCTTTCTGTTCTAATGGTATGATACCCGCCTTCATAGCGAGAGACTGCAAATTCGAATCCTACTAAAGACACCTTTTTATACATTGTCTATCAATTGTTTTCAATTCTTTAAACATTTCCCTACCATTTACTGTAACAACGAACTGACAATATCCAATGTTCCCATTACAATCGGTTGCCGAATATCCTACGATGGTATCGCCGACTGTAAATTCATCTCCACTTGTGTAGTTAGCATTTGCCTCAGTATCACCACAACAGGTGTCAGTTGCATTAGCTGGATACCAATAGGCATTCATTGAAGCTACGCCAGAGTCAGTGCACATCATGACGTCATCTGGACAATCCAGTATTTTGGTTAGGTCGTCCACAATAAAGAAATCCTTTCCCTTGCAGACAGATCTTGATCGTTTTAGAATATCAATTTTGTCTCGATATGATAGCAATTTCACCAACAAATGAGGAGATTATTCTGCGTTGCCACAGCTATCGCGATGTGCTCTTTCAACATTGTGGCGTCTGGTAGCTCGAAGTGGCTGTAAAGTATATTCTTTACTATCTCAACTCATTTTCTCCTTCAGTAGCCTGTACGCCTACTATCCTCACGTTATTTCTACGTGAAAATTGCTCCTGCTTGTTAACCATGTCGTCTTGTATTCGAGTATGCGCTTTAAGCTGATTAATTTTGGCTTTCATCTCAGCATTTTCCTCGATTAGTTGTGTGAGTTTAGTAGACAGTTAATCTATCCTTGTGTTAAGCAACTCAATTGACTGATAGAAGTCCGTTTCTAACCGCTTCATTTGCGTAATAGTGTCTTCTATTTTTTGTCGTCCTTCCACTCTTAATTCCTCCCTTATTTTCACCGTTTTTTCTGCTTTATTCTTGCCAGATATTTTGGTTTATGTATTATTGAGTTATACAGTCTCTTAATTTAAGCACTGCCGCAAAGAAACATACAAGAACGTATTTGGTCAGAGCCACCAAAAAACACGTCCGTCTTACTCCACGACGCCTTACTTTCCTGTTTATAGTGTTTATTAACAGTCTTCCTAGCTGCAGCCTATATGCTAATCTAACCACAGCTAACCGGTGTGTGAGTCAGTTGATTTGAAGGTACCCTGCCCGGGTTTTGGTATTTGTGGTCTAATGGTATGTTACTCGCCTTCATAGCGAGAGGCTGCAAGTTCGAATCCTGCTAAAGACACCTTTTTGTACATTATCTATGATTTTTTTTTCAATTCTTAAAAAATATTCCTACCAGTTACTGTAACAATAAACTGACAATATTCAGTGTTCCCACTACATGTTGCTGAATATTCTACGATGGTATCGCCGACAGTAAATTAATCTCCACTTATGTAGTTAGCATTTGCCTCAATATCACCACACGTGTCCGTTGCATTTGCTGGATACCAATAGGCATTCATTGAAACAACGCCAGTGTCAGTGTACATCATTGGGTTTCGGCCCGTTGCCACCCGGGTCCATTGCCACCCGGCCTTTTGCCATCCGGCCCGTTGCCACCCGGCCCGTTGCCACCTGGCTCGTTGCCACCCTAGGCCCGTTGCCACCCAGGCCCGTTGCCACTCGGCCTTTTGCCACCTTTGGAAAAGTCGAATATTTTATTTTGGTGAGTTTTTTTACACAGATTTGTACTAGTAGGCCTACTATAGCAGAATTTATATTGATTAAATTTACTTTCTAGTTTAATATTTAATTATTAGTTTACTGTATTTTATTTCAAACAATCGTCCATGCGCTTTCTTACTACCAGGAGAAAATTGCAGAAATAAACATTGTTATAAATCCACATAAAGAGAGAAATACTGCAGTGTCTTTTTTATTTTTATATTTTATTTTTAAGTATATTCTTATTCTATAGAAAGAAATAGCCTGTGCTTTTACAATTAAAAAAACAACACATTTATGATAATAATAGTTATTTATATAGTATAACCACAAGCCTATTTATGTGTGTATAATAAACTTTATGGAATTTTTTTGGTATTTCTCTCTTCATGCGGACAATTTATTACAAGATATATTTTGTATATGTTGAAGCTTGCGGTACACCACGTAAGTAGTTCTAAAAAGAACTGTTGTAGTTGAGAAAGTCTCGAAGTTTTGATTGAGTTGCTTCAATCGTCTTATATGTTTGGGTAGAGAGGCTGGATGGTGATAAACTGACCAATGGGTGAAAGGCTAAAACACAAGCTGGATGGTGATTGATGGGTAAACTGGCCACTGAGAAGACTGCTAGTGAAATGCTAAGATATTTTTTCTCATGAGAAATAACCGTCAATGATAAACTTAAGATAAAGATCTTCTCGTTAGCGGTAAACTATACAAAGGATGTTGCGCTCAGTAACATTAATGATCTGAGCAAACTAATCTTCCTGATTGTTTATACCGTCACTAGGGCTATTGTTCAGATTATAGGGTCTTCAAGCCTTCAAGCCTAATTTGCGTGGCCTTCAATTAGTCAGTTGGAAATTTCCCCAACCCATGTTTTTTCTATTGGTATACCAGAGCTATATATGATCATACATTTGGCTTAATATCTTAAAAACAACAAATTGTGAAAGGTCTATGCCCATTTCTTATAGCGGTAGCAGCATTAACATAGGCCTATTCAACATGTTAATAATAATAGCTTATCATCACTACTATATTATTTCACTAATTTATGTTCATTATTATTTCCACACTCCGAAGGCAAGTCAATTAAATCAAATACAAAAAAAAAAATCTGTTCAATCTGTAACACTACAAGGATTTTAATTCATGATGTTCTGTCTTCACAAAAAATGTAAAAAAAAAACAAACCATATACACATACACATTAACTAAAAACAGTACATACTCAAAAAACATATACATACATACGTACGTCTGAATACATAAAAATAAAGATACAACGCTAATCAGGACTACTTCACACGTGTGCCTTTCATGATGGTTACCCGCAACGAATTGTTGTTGTTTACAATCTGCCCAACAATCAATCCATTCATCATTCAGTACACTTAGTTTGGCAAAAATACCGAGAGTAAAATTTCTGCAAATACAATGCATAGGCCTACTATACAACTATGGGTGGCAACAGGCCGGGTGGCAACGGGCCTACGGAGGCAACGGACGGGTGGCAACGTTCCGCGTGGCAAAGGGCCTATGGTGGCAAAGGGCCTATGGTGGCAAAGGGCTTATGGTGGCAACGGGCTGGGTGGCAAAATGACGGGTGGCAACGGGCCTAGGTGGCAAAAGGCCGGGTGGCAACGGGCCCAGGGTGGCAAAAGGCTGGGTGGCTAAAGGCCGGATGGCAAGAGGCCGGATGGCAACGGGCCTAAGGCGCAAAAGTATAACTCATCAATTACAAATAATATCGTTTTGTCTCTATTAACTTAAATAAAATAAAATAAATAAACTCACCTATAATGATAATGTTGAATGTACAGAACCCAACGTTGCCGTAATTATCAGTAGCATTACATGTTACAGTAGTGTTCATTTCAGAAAATGTGCTCCCATTTCTATAGTCACATACTGGTAGAATTATCTCCCCAGAGTTGTCCGTAACAGTAGGTTGTGTCCAAGTGGGCGATGCCATACAATCATTATCACCTACTAGATTTTGGATTGGTGGACATTCAAGATCTGGTGGTTCACTGTCTGTCAAGTGTGAAGAAAGTAACTTTGATCACTAGCAAATTTTTTAACTAGCAAATGTGCTTTGATACAAGTTAAAATAATTGGATTTATGTTAATTATATGTTTTGTACACCATTAACAAGACTGCAACAGAAATTGAAAGATTCTGTATACGTACAGCAATGCAAGTTTTGAATAAATGTTTTGTATGATTTTTTTTTAAATAATGAATTCTATTTTTGATCTTTTGTAACTATTTGTAATTCAATAATAACAAAATAATGATTGTAGTGATAATAAAGAATAATTTTAACTTAATACTGATTTTCTAACAGTTTGTACTATTTTTAAAATGATTAGCAATGATATGTTTGTGTCCCAAAAGCCGTTGGCTGAAGCGATTCTGCTAATAGTCTGCCACCGACAATCAGCAGATAATGTCGCATTGTCAAGCGCTCATACAGAGTGGAAATTGATTTGTCGCTCAGTGGTCTATGATCGTCGTACGACATACGGTATTTCTTTTCGAGTATAATTTTTATTAGCATAATAATGTCCAGAAATCACATAAAATGTCATGGTATCGAACATTCTATACTACTGTGCACATATTTATTGTCTTATTTACTTTCACTACATTACGAATATTTAAAATTGCTTATTCTTTCTTCAAATAATTATTTGTACAAGGAAAAGTTATCATAATCTGAATATTCAATCCTAAACAATTTTCTTTACACATTAAATTATTATTTTGTAATTTATATTTTATTTTCAACTCCATTTTGTTAAATACAACAATGATTAATGTTAAGGTGCTATTTCGTTGTATTTTTTTGAAATTCAAATCAATTAGCAAGTCTACCTACCAAACAACAGGAGTGATCAAAAACTAAGTCTACCTTTAGAAAGTAGGATTATCAAGCCCTAGAAACTAAGACTGCAGGGCAAATGGTGTTTTAAATTAACGATCAATAAAGATGTATTCAGGAACGCATAAAAGTAATATCTTTTAATTTCCGTAAAATATAAAAAATTATTACCTTTAACCTCAATTCTGAACACACATTCATTCCGGTTTCCATTGCAGTCTACTGCTGTAAGTGTAACATTAGTAATTCCAGTGTCAAAAGTACTACCATTCATAATATCAGGCAACACATCGATGTTTTCTCCACAGCAGTTATCAGTGGCAACCGCAAGGTTCCATGTCACTTCTGCTGTATTATTACCTACATTATTAGGAACGGTAATATCGTCTGGGCATACCAATGCTGGAGGAGTCAAATCTGTACATATAATATAAAGCGTACAAAAACAATAAATATAGTTGTTGAAACCTGTTGAAACAAGTTGCTAAAATTAATTAATGCCTTCCAGAGGGCAAAACCATTAGAAACTATATCCTTGATTTCAGATACTTATTTAAAGGCATACATTTGAAATTACTTTAGTTTTTTTTTCAATATAAACTTTTAATTCTAAGTAAATATTTACGAATCCAATCATCAAATTTCATTTTTTAAATTCATTAATTAAAAATATAGTTGTAATGCCAAGTAGAATGAAAAACCAAACACATACCAAGAATGGCGAAATTGAAAGAGCATTTGCCTGTATTGCCTGCCAAGTCTGAAGCATTGCACTGCACAGTGTAATTTCCTAAAGGAAAAGTATCGGGGCTCAAATCACAGTCAACATTTACAAGACTGTCGTAGTTGTCGTCTGCCGTTACCTCATCCCAAATGGCATCTGCCTGACAGTTATCATCAACTTCAAGTGGAGCCAAATTATCCAGGCAAGACAAATTAGGGGCGTCACAATCTAAAAGTGTATAAACAATTATATAACACATATATTTAAACTAAAAATGGACAAACACTTCTTGAAATAATAAATTGATTTACCACTTTCCTACTGGTATCTATATAATATAGAAACAAAAATAATTGAGAAAATTAAACACTGATAGCGTTTGCTATCCTAAAATGTTTGGAAATGCATCTTGTGCAATCACTCATTCGGTACTAGAAAAAACTAGTGTAATCTATCATTAAATCAATTTATACTCAGTGGATCAAAGTAAATTGCTTTGTTTTATTTGATTAAAACCTAGGCTAGTGAATAACTGAATAGTCCAATATATATATATATATATATCCCCTCGCCACTGAGGAAGGACTAGTGTTGTCCGAAAGCTCTGGTTCTATTTCTGGCTGTTTACTTACGTTTACTTTTTAGCTGTTGCTTATCATTTTTGTATCTCTACTGAGATCCAGCCATTGTTTCCCACAGCATTGTTGTTTTCCAGTATTTTGCCTTTTTATCTATCTATCTATATATATATATATATATATTTATATATATATATATAGCTCCTGCTATCTTCATCAACGTTAAAGTGGGAAAACTTGGGAGATCTTACATATACATAAAGAATAATAATATTATTCTTTATATCCCAAGGATATCCTAAGGCGAACGATTGCCCTCCCATCAATAAATTATGGAAGCCTGGTATGGGTTGGAAGCAAAAGTGACACTGAAAAAATATGAAAAGTTGCAACTACAAATGGCCAGATTCATTCTGAAGGCGCCACGTAGCACTCCCTGTGCCACACTGTATGGTGACCTTGGATGGTCAAAAATTGAAATTATTCATAATATCCATAGAATTAACTTTATTGAGAGAATCTTGAAAATGGGAGGTAATCGTTAGCCTAAAATGCTAGTAACAATATTTTAAGCTTTTCAGACAATCTAAATACATTTGCTTTTAAAATCCCAGCTTGTATTGAAACAATCTTGAAAGAATGTAATACTGATAATATTTTTACTGATGTTAATAATGGCAATAGTAGTAATAGGCCTATTAAAACAACATGGGCTTCTGACACAAAAGATATCATGAGAGATCTGTCACTTTGTCATTGGATTGAAGATGGAAAGAGTAAATCATCAATAAAAGAGTACATGGACATTAAAAATGCACCTACTACCTGCTTTTGATGAAATTAGAAAAGATGAAATTGACAAATTTTAACAACAACTATATAATAGAAATTTTGGTAATATATTCCAAGTATTTCAGCAAAACAATATTAGAAACAAGTTACTCTTTATTCTTGGCAATGATAATTTTATGTTTCATGATGGCCTAATAAGTGTTTTAACAGAAATAGGCCATGGGGTGAAAATCCTAACGTTCAGTCCCGTTCCAAAATTTTCCTAATACTTTTACTCATTATGATAATTATTATAATAATATTTAAAAGCACCAAAAAAAAAGTTCGACCGTCAGAACTTCTGCAAATACGAGAAAATGACGTTTAAACTTACGAAATTGAAAGTTCTTTGCGCTAGATTAGCACACGACATTGTACGTCATTGTACTCGTCACTGTACTCGTTCGAATATTGTATTTTTGATTTGCGAACTTCGTATTACTGCTTTAAAAACAAATTTAAACATTATAATTAGATATAGTTTGTATTTTAATTACAGAATAATATTTTTTAGACTACTATAATGTTCCCGACGGGTATTTGGACCTGTTCAACAATGAAGCCTTCGTGGTCTAGTGGTTATGACGCTCGCCTTGTCTGCGAGAGGTTGCAGGTTCGAATCCCGTTGGAGGCATATATATATATATATATATATTATATATATATATATATATTATACTGACAAACTGTCAAGAGCGTAACGAAAAATGTAGATATACTTATGCTATTAGTATAAACTTATGCTAGGCCAGTATCAAATACACAAAGAACATCGTACACACCTCTGACAACCACATTGAACTGACAGGTAGTCATGAGATTGCCACAGTCACTTGATGAGTACTCGACCACATCAGTACCAATTTCAAAGGAATATCCATTGATATAGTTTGCATCCGCAACACCATTTGCACAACAGTAGTCAGTAAAATTGGCTGGCTCCCAAGTAACGCTGGCGGTATGATGACCGACATCATTACACACATTCACATCACTAGGACATACTAATACTAAGCATTGAATAAAACAAACAAATAAAATTATGTAGGCCTATAACATAATGTAAGGCAAGTACATATACTAGTTTCAATTAAAGTATTGAAGGATAAAATCTACGAATATAATATATTTAGTATTTAAGGCATATAATTTGGCTGTACAAAGTATTTTAGGAAAAAAATAATAATAGAGACTTTGTTAAGCTGTAACATCATATAAACTAGAACGATGAGAAAAATATAAATATATAAAATGGAGCAGGAGAATTATCCGGAAACCTCTGGAATAATAATTATCATCGAGGACCATTTTCTACTCGAAAATGGCACCTCATGCTCAAATAATGACATACATAACTCGTCAGCGACCGACAAAAGTGTCACTGGTGACTACCTTATGTTACCACCACACGTGCTATGCGTATGCACAGACCACAGACCGGTCACCTCGGGTAGGGAATTACACAAAGCCGTGGCCTTGGGGGAAAACCTCTTTTCAAATTGTTTGGTTCTGTACATCGACCTCATCAAAGTAAGATAGTGAGAAGCTTTTGAGCCCCTTAGTTGCACCATGGTTGCACGACCAAATGATTTTGATAATGGAACAAGACCTGATAACCCTAAAAAGAAAATCCACTAAACAAACAATTCGCCCTCCATAACCTGAAAATTTAGAGTGTTTGATTTCCACTTAGGGGTTTAGCTTTGTGTTAATGTGCTAATAGATTGATGATAGTCATTTTGTTCTTTGAAAAGGTGGTCTCGAATTTCAGTGGTCTCGCAACTAGAGAGGTCTCCAATTAGAGGGTGCACTGTATTTATAACATAAACAAATCGAGGCAATGTAATGTTGAACCATCTTCTCCAATTAGATTGACAAATCTGCTCTGAATCTTGTCCAATAATTTAAATATCAAGCTGGGACACTAGCTTATATATTACGGCAACAATACTTCTCCATGAGCTTACGGATGGCACTTTTATACAGGTACAAAAGTACATGTGGAATAAAGAATATTTTTGCTCTGTGCATACAACCCACATAATTAATGCACTCTTACCTACATGAACATATAATTACCCCAACATAGTTAAGATTTAATAAATAAATTAATGTCAATGACAAGGATAAGAATATCTTCTGATGTAGGTATAAACATAAACCCCACAATTAATAAGATCATTAATATTAAGAGAATTAAGAACCATGCGAAAAGTAGAACTAGAGTCTGGTGAAGAACAAAATGGTTGAATCTTCAGAATATATTGCAAGTTTAGGCTGGAATTAGGAAAAGAAAAAGACCAAGAAAATGTTCTCAGGGCACACGGAACAGGAGGGAAAACAGAAGATTGACCATCAACAACAACCTTAAACTGTCGGTTTGCAAGAGGTATATAGAGAAGGCTAGGTGACCTGCAAGCTATAAAGGGAGGGTCAGAAAAACAAACTGTAGGAT